GTAAGTCACATTCTCAGCTTCCTCCATGGCTTTTATGCAGCACATTCACACAGCCCCCACTGTGAACTACAGTACTAAGTAACGAGAGGAGAATATATGGATACCTTATCAATACACAATGGCCCATTTGCCTGTGACATATACCGCCACATGAGCGAACATTCAACACTGTACAGGAGCATGGCCTCACAGAGCTCCTCCACCCTCCGCTTGGGCTAGTTTGCACACTCAAGATGGCACCCTCTGCCAGAAGACATAGCAAGGTAGATGGAGCGTCGCCTTAGGAGGTGGACGGCTTGTCCGTGAGAGCCTCGGCACCTCCACGCTCGCTCCGGACGGGAAGGCCGCCGTACTGCCCACTGCTCTGGCCCAGCCTAACACTACAGCTCCAACCGCCACCCCRCCCTCCTCCCCGTTTGAAACGTAACCGCCCCCTGCCCTGGCAACGCCAGCACCGCGCGGCACTCTGGGTAACCACGCCCCCAAACAACACGAAGCCAGCCCCCGCTTGAGTGGCACCCGCCTCAACCCGTAACTGAGCCCACAGCGCTAGGAGGCGGGAAAAACCTCCCGAGACAGCCAATGAGAAGGCCGCCGGTTGCGGCAGCTGCGCCGGGGTTGGCGGCGCCGGCATTGTAGCGCGTTACTAAGGGGAAGTGCGCGCGGCGCGGCGGAGACGAGGAGCGGCTTGTGTCCGGGGCCGGCACCATGAGCTTGTCCCTGAGGTGAGTGCGGGCCGTGCGGCCTGTGCGCGGGCGGGCGGGTCCGCCGCGGCCCGCTCGCCCGCCGCGCTGGTGCAGGGGGGCGGCGGAGCTCGGTGGGTCGGTTGGAGCGTTAATCGCTTATGCCTGATCCTCTCAGCATCGCCGCCCGCRGCCGGCGCGGATTAGGTCTGGCCGGGCCTTCTAGCACTGTTATTTGTTTGAAAGAGTCMTCTGGTCGTTAAAAGAATAACGCACACCTTGAAAAAGCCCGTTAATAAGTTTAAAGTTGTGGTTTTTTTGTCCTGATGAGATAAAAACACCAGAAGGAAGATTTTAGCAGCTACCCTCGAGTCTTTGGGTTTTCGTTTTGTTCACTTTTTTGTTAGGGCTTCATGACTCTTGTAAAAAGAGCCTGTGGCTTATAAACCTTCACAAATCCTTGTTCTCAGCTTATTTCATACTYTTATGTGGTTTAGGTGATCCTTAATTAAATGGTATAACGAATTTATGTTTTGTGTAGTAACAGTGTTTATAGCAAAAGCAGCACTGAGCTACTGAAGTTTAAGCACTACAAAAAGCCTTTTAAAATGTTTTATGGTAGACATTAAGTAACCACTTGACTAGACAGATCTTTCTAAATACTTAAGCGTTAATCTGCCTTTCAGCCTCTAAGTAGAGAGCTTCATCATTGTGGCTCACAAAACATGGGCTTCAGTGGATCTCCCACTTTTAGTTTCATAGCCAGCTGAGAAAGATTTTATTCCTGTGGGAAGCTATAGTAACCCAAAAGCTATGTGAATTTAAGTTGTCTTGACTGGTGTTTTAAGGGCTTCTCACCCTTTGAGGGTCTTGGGCTGTGAGGTGGGTCCAGTTTGTGCAACTTATATTTTCCATGTAAGTATTTGGAATTTTCACTAGTTGGGCTAAAGTTGTGGTTGAAAGCTGTGTCGCAACTGTATATTGAACCTTTGGGTTTGTTTAGAATTAGATAATATTTTTCTTTAACAAAGGAGAAGAAAAGGCAGCTAATTAAAGGAGATGTGGAAAACAAATATCCTTCTTGCACAAGCAGTTTTCCATCTTCAGGAACTCTTCAGGAATTTTTGTGCATTTTATAGTAAATGAAATCATGTGCATTTCACTTCTGCTGCAAATAAACAAATAGGTATTGAAATATCTCCTCTTAGCAGCAGCATATAGAATCATGCAGCAGTCCAGGTTGGAGTGGACTTCAGGAAGTCTCCAGGTCCAGCTTGTACCTCAGAGCAGATCAGACCTGGAGTTCAGTGAGTTTGTCATGGCCCTGGCTCAGTTGCCTTCTGAAAACTTTTAAGGGTGGAGATTTTTAACAATCTCCCAGGGTAGCTGTTGCTGTGCATAACCATTCTCACTGGGAAAATGCTTCTCATTAGATCCAGCTGCATTTTCCCCTGTTGCAACTCATAACTGTTGTTTCTTGTCCTTCTGCAGAGCATCTTTGAGAGTCTAGTTCTGTCCTGGGTAAACCTCCAGAGTAATGGAAGGCACCTCTCAGATTTCCCCCATCCTTCCCCACCCAGGCTAAGCTTCTTGCTCAGCTTGCTCAGCTTCTCCTAGAACATCATGTGCTCCAGCCACCTAAGCATTTTAGTCCTTTAGACTTGCTCTTGTTACTGAAGGGGTCCAAAAGTGGACGTAATTGTTCACATGCAGCCTGTGGATTGGTCCCTGCAGTTAGCTAACATTGCTGCAAAAGTGTGGTGTTAAACTTGGTGTAAGTCCATTTCTTCCAAGAGTGTACCTGAGTACTGGCAGCTTCACTCGTGTCATCTCTTACTTCAAATGCAGTGCTTTTTGTAGAAARCCCCCTCTGGAATGGGTGTCTTCCAAGCACTTACTGTGGATGCACACCAGTCAATCTTTCTGGCGCCAATAAAGCACAGTTAGAGCCACAACAAAATTTACACTTTGCTCATTCCAAAGTATCCTTGTTCTGTTCCATGCTCTCAGCAAGTGTTTTTGTAAATTAAAAATTCCATAGAACTATGCAGGAAATGATTTTTTTTCCCCTAATCTTCTGTAAAGCATATATTTCTAAMAAGTAATACCATATTACATATTTTATAACAGTGTCTGTTAATTTTATGTACATACTGATTTCATTCTACTTAGAAATGAGCAACATACTGAGCATGACAGTCGAAGAAAGTGTATTTGTGCCATATACCTCAATTATCTGAAAATTTAATCTTATTTCTAGATTCTGCAAGCAGTCTGTGTTGTTTTTTTTCTTGGTCTTGCCCATTTTGGATGTGCCACAAACAGAGAAAAAAGACATTTTAACAGATTAATTTGTTGATTAGATTAATTTAGATTTACAGAATTTCTAGCAATCCATGCAAGATGTTTATCTTAAAATGGTTTCTGATAACAAAGCCCAAGACTTGTGGTAACTAACATCTACTTCAGCAGCCAGGCAACCCAATGAAATGCCCAGTTAAGCAGCTGCATCTTTCTGAAAATTTCCTCCTACAGTTAGGACCACAGTGTGATTTCAACTGCTATGCAAGTTGYAATCTCAAGTATTTGTTAGGCTTTTTTCGCTAGTGTTTTAATAACTTATTAGTTAAAACGCTTATTTTATTTGATAGGAAGAGAGGGGACAGCATCCCATCTTCAGAAAACTGTTGTCTGTTCCAAGTGTTGTTGTGTGCTGGGAGAAACTGGGAAAAGAATGAGAAAGAATGATCTGTGGTATTGTGGTGAGATTTTTTTTTTTATTGATGGAAATGTATGTAGAGCTTTATCTTCCCRGATTGGTTGCATTGAACTTCCTTCTTTTCTTACAGGAATGAACTTTCAGTAGACAAAACTAAAAGGAAAAAAAGAAGAGAACTCACAGAAGAACAGAAGCAGGAAATTAAAGATGCCTTTGAGTTGTTTGATACAGACAAAGATAGAGCAATAAATTATCATGAATTAAAGGTAAAAGGAAGTACTTCATCTAACTTTCTGTCTTCATGGTTAGGCTTTATGAAGTAATTCGGGAGTTACTTGAAAGAAAAAATGGCTGTTTCTTACTTTGCCTTTTGTTATAGACATGATTTTAAGTGTMCAGAGGTTGTCTTTTAATTTCAGAGTTCAGGTACTTTATGTCTGGTGGAAACTGCAAGTACTTGGATATATAAACTGTTGATGCAGTTTGTCTAATAGCAGTATGCTTTGTACTCCCCAAAATCCTGAATATTTGCAAAGCTGTTCTCTCAGTTGCTGAATTAGATACTTTGACCCTGAAATAGGCAATACTGTGGAAAAACAGAAATATATAAAAATACAAGATGCCTTCTTTCCTAAGAARTTAGAACATGGCATGGATTAATACTGAACTACAATCCAGGAGGGTTGTAGTTTTCTGTTGATCATTTAACTTATACTTATGTTCGTGAACAGTCAAACTAGTCTGTGCAGGGATTTCTCTTTACCATCTCACTTGAAATGGGAAAGCTAAGGATGCTCCTAACCTGATACAAAAGTAAAAATGGAATGGCTTATGTTAYCTTAAAGGCATCAGGAGTAGCAGTRAGTTAGATRATATGTAAGACGACTAGTAAACCCATAAACARGCATGCCCTCAGTAKGAATTAAAGAAGGTTGAAGAATTTTTCAATGTAATCATTTTTAAAAAGGACAAGTTTTCTCATTAGCATGACTGTTGAAATACTTGAAATATTTTTTGAAAATAATTTTAAAAAACTGCCCTACTTTTCCTCAGAAGCATTTGGTTCATCTTAAATCAAAACAAAAAAACTCTTAAACTCAAAATACTGTTATTTTGTTGTGACTTAAGGCTATACTTGCTAGTACTAGCTTTAGATGATATTATATCTATAACTTTTTCCTGCTTTTTATTTTTTAACTGATTAATGTTGCTATCTCACTGATATGCCTGTTTTATTTAATTAGGTAATGAGATGCTTAACACAAKGTAAAATATCTGTTTGACTTTTAATATTCACATATTGTTGCACTTCTGTTTTATTCCAAAAGGTGGCAATGAGAGCCTTGGGTTTTGATGTGAAAAAAGCTGATGTACTGAAAATACTCAAAGATTATGATCGAGAAGCAACAGGCAAGATCACATTTGATGATTTTAATGAAGTTGGTATGTATTGGATTGTGTATCTTGAGGGGAAAAAAGTGGTTAAAGAAGCAATGCTTTGAATGCTTTTCCAGTTCTCTAGTGCTGTTTAGAAATTTGAAATTTCATTCTATGTTTTTCTTAATAGAAGTGAATAGAGTAGTAAGATTTTTTTGCATACTGAATGTGCAATTGATATGTGGAGCTGAATCATAGGATCAGTATGAAAGGAGCTGGAGTATGCACAGTCCTAATCTGTTTCAAACTTCTGCAAATGAAAAAAGCTTCAACTTACAGATGCAGATATTCTTGTGCTGCTTTTGAATTCTATGGGATTCTCCTTGTGAAAAAAGTAGTTGGAATTGAATTTCATGAGAAGGAGGTTACACAGAGACAAACTGTAAACACCCCATATATCATAAAGGGAAACGGGTATTAAAATCGCAAATTTTCTGCTTTTGATAAAAATCAAATATTTTTGCGAACAATAAATTTAATGAACAATGGAATTAGGCTGTTTTTATTTAAAACTCTTGTATTTTGCWTTGTACATATTTTCAGTATGTAGTGATTGCAGAATTTCTAAATACTCAACATTAAATTTCTCTCCTTTTAAATTACATAAATGTACGCAAAGTATAAATTATTTATTTACAAAAATAACCTGCTCATTGCAGGTTTATTTCTCTATTTTACTATTGCATTCCATGTGTTTAAGGTATTGTCTATAACATTTCAGAAAAGTCAGCTCTGGTCAGATGTAGTTTGATCTAGTTGCCTTTGGCTATGAAGAGCAATCGAGTTAATGTCACAAATCAATTATTGATTGAAACATGTAACAAATCTTCAAGTTTAACATGGTAAGGATTGGGGAAAATACTTGGGTAATGACWGAAAACAATGTGTCTTAGATGTGTTTCCAGTTGGGGCAAATTATGGGTCAGAAGAAAAATGGAAGTGAAAACTTATTGCAGCTGATTTAAAGCAGCAATTCCAAAAGAGCTTGCCAGTTCATCTAGATGTGATAAATTATTTTCATGTAGATATTATCTTTGGCCTCTGACAGACTGGAGATGTTAGGTTTGGGCAGTCTGGGGGAATAAAACTTGTCTCAGCTATTTACTATCAGAAGGATTTTCTTTTCTCTCTTAGATCCTTGTAGTCAATCCTGTCATTATTCTGTAGTTCTTTTTTCTGGCCTAGCTGTCAGGATAGGTAGTCAATAAGTGCTGTGCAAAACGAGGAAAATTCATACAGGAAGTTATGAGAAGGTAATATAATTGAATCTGTCCCAAAACTTGTGTCAGATCTCTGTGCATCTCTGACATGAGRTGCAATTAAATACAGAAAGAACAGGAGGTTAGAGTAGATGCTTTGCAGAAAAAAAAATTCTAAATATTATGAAATAGTTGTTGAGAACTCTTCTGAACCCTCAGAAGATGGATATCAGAAAACTGATGAAATTAATATTTTGCTGTTCACAGTACTGTCCTTTTGATAACCCATGTGCTTATTTTTTTCTTTCACAGTGAAGTTTTATATCTGAAAGAGAGGGTTATTATGATTGCTTTTCATTGCTCAGTGTTGTTCCTCTATTTTCTGCAATCAAAGTTCTATGAAATCATAACATTTAAAGTCAACAGATGTATGTATCTGCATCTGTCAGAGTTGATTTTTTTTTTACTCTGAGTTGTATGTTTGGAACAGACTAGGAGCACATACATTCAGTTCCTTTTGGAAAGGGCTTATCAAAAGCACATCTAAATTATGACATAAGCTCTGACTGTAGTTGGTGTGTCTCGGAGAGGTATTTCTCTTAYATAAAGAGAAGTGAAAAAGGCAAAATAATGACCAAAAAAGTACATATTGGTAAAAACTGAAGAGTAAATAAAATCTGAAGTATKCACTCTGCATACTGCTTTTTTATGTTAACGTTATTCTCAGTTTATCCTTCAGAGTTTCTTAGTTTGACTTTGTTTTGTTTTTTCCTTACAGTGACAGACTGGATATTGGACAGAGATCCCCAAGAAGAAATACTCAAGGCTTTCAAACTATTTGACGATGATGACTCTGGTAAAATAAGTCTGAGAAACTTGCGCAGGGTTGCAAGAGAACTTGGTGAAAATATGACTGATGAAGAATTGAGGGCTATGATTGAAGAATTTGATAAGGATGGAGATGGAGAAAGTAAGYGTTAAGAGTGAAAATCCAATATAGTCTGTTCTTAATTTTCTTTCCATTTTAAATGGGGGTCTAATTCTGAAAATRACTGAAATCTGCAGCATTATCCTCTTTGGTTTTCTTCTAAATTATTTCAGATGAAACTTGATTTAGCTGTTAAACAATGGAGCTTGTTACTTTCAATAGTTGCTAGTCCTGGAAATGTATTTTGAAGTCTAAAAAATCAATTTTGTTCTCTGCCCTTATATTCACCAGTGACTCCCTTTGGCTACACTTTTACCACTTCTAATAGCAGCAGGATGAATGGGAGTGAATTGGTACTTGGGCAATTCAATTGATTTCTAACTACACTGCATTTTTATTTCTGTCTAAATTAAGAAGGCTAAAGGGCAAGTTTCTCACTTCTGAAATCATATAGTGCAGTGTTTCTCAAGTACTAATATGCTTTTAATTTCTGTATGTTACTGAGGTGGGGGCGTATTAAGCTAGTAAACCATGCTGGGCTTAACTTGGGCCCATGCRGGATCACTTTGGATGGGTTTTGGACATGCTTTTGGAGGTAAGAATGTTTAAAAAGCAAACAAAACCAAAAGCCTATTTTTATGCCACAAATCTTAATACTTCTATTGCCTTGTGGCAGTGCTATTGCTGTTGTTTGGCAGCTGCTGACCTGCCTGTACTTGCACTTACTCAAATGCTGAAGCAATCCCTGTGCTCTTGCAAGAGCTGCAATGGGACATTTCAACATGGCCCAGTGCTTTGGGAACATGAAGGTGATGTTACATTTCAGTCTTGTAAATATGGAGCCTGGACTAGTAAAAGTCAGTATTGCAACTGTGAAAGTGTCACTGCTGATGCTGTAACTATAAAATTCAGTGCGTTGCTGAGAAGACTGTGATCTCTTTCCTTTGGAGATACTGTCTTTTGGCTTTTATAGATAAGTCTCAGGTCATGATTTCATGATAAATCCATGCTGCATAATTCTGGTGTTCCTCCACACCCCTAGCTTTGTCTTCCCATTCCCTTCTTTCACTGGCAGTGTCTCATCCCACAGATAGATGTTTAAAGGAGCTAAGCCAGCAGCAGACTAATYTAGGTTTTCAAGCATTATTTTTCTTCTTGTCTAGAACCCCAAATTCACTTACTACTTGGTCAGATTTTCTTGTGGCTTTATCATGAGCCATGTTTTTTATTTGTTTTTTTTCTCTCTCAACATTTTGTGTATAGAGGCTGATAGAAAGAAATGAGTGTGCTAACTACTGTAAATGTGTGCAGTGGCACACAGGATCTCGGCCATGAATTCCAGTAGGCAGTAGCTTGCCTACATAGTTCATTTTCAGCAGCTATATGGTAAACAGGGAGTGATGGTTGTTTTCTCCAGACACAAGACTGATGGCTAGTCCAGGTAGGTACTTTCATTTTAATGTTATTATTCTCTTAAGAGAATAATTGAAATAAGTGTATTACTAACAGTACCTTTTCCTCCTTTGAAATCTTCAAAAATAGCTATAGATGGAAGATTTCTTTTTCACATGTGTCTCTAGGCTGCTATTTTACCTTTCTTGAAGAGGTAGCTGTAGAGGTAAGCAAGAATAGAAAAYGTCAGTCAGAAACATATTTTGTTCTTTGTTGCTTTACTAAGGATGCTGACTGGTGCCAGAATGATGATCAAGGATGTCTTCTATTATGCGGCTATTTTGTCACTAGAAATTGGATGTCATTAGAAATTGAGCGTAGACCATTAGCTTCTTTCAGGAAGGTTGCTGAGTCACGGTTATTTTGGATCAGTGCTCCATTTCACATTCAGACTGATGGCCTAAGAGTGAACGGCTCAGTTCCCTTTTATACATTCTCATTTGAGTAGTTAAGCATGAGATTAAACATGGAAGACYAACAGCGTACCATTTATATATGGTGCTTTTTATGCCTAAGTTGTTTTTCTGTTTTGTAAAGAAACTGGTGCTGTTTCTATAGCTAAGATTCATTTTTTTGGGGGGAAAGAGTCTCTTGATTCACAGTTACATTTAGTTCTAAACATCTGGGTCATGTACCAAAGTTTTGCTGTAATTTAATTCTTTCTTCTCCTGTCAAGAAAAAAAAGCTGACATTATTAGTTGGTAGTATTTTTAATGGATTTTTTGAGTATGGAAGTAATACCACATGGGTTTTAATATTACTTTTGTGTTTGAAAGATTTTTTTTTGCTCATAGCAAAAWAAGTTATATATTGATATTCTTGTTACCTTGAACTTTCAGATGCTTTTCGTGTTAGACCTCAAATTCTGACATAGAGCTAGAAAGACTTCACTGAAATAGTATTCTCCCTTAGCTCTCCAGAGTCAAAGTCAGTATTTACTTCATATTGAATGGGATGATAGTTACTTATTTCCTTTCATATATATCATAATATTGAGGGAATCTGAGGAAAGGTTGTGATATGCACACTTGCATATCTCAAAAGCAAACTTGCACATACATAGTAAGTCTGAGAGGATTACCTGGGAAATTGGGAATTGCCACTATATTTCTCTTTATAATTGTTTGACAAATTAATCATTAGAGCATTGTATTTCTATTCTATTTTGCTGTATTATTGAACAAAGAGGTTGGAAGATACTTTGGGGAGGATATTTGATTTTATGGCTCTCTTGAAACTTCCTTTGGCTTCTAGTTTTGGTATGTGTGCAGTACTGGAACTGTGGAATATTTCTGAAGCAGTCTGTAGAAAATATATTGGAAGAGATGGGTTGGTGTGAATCCTGTAAGCATACCTAATTTCTTTTCTCATTTGTTTCCACTTCAGCAGGTAGCTGACAGTCAGTCTCATTGGGCTACCTTGGGAAGGAAAATATTTTTCTTTTCTGTATTTTTCAGTAGTCCATCGTGTAATTGGGCAACACCTGAGAACCTCCATCTTAATCCATTATTTTTTTTTCTATGTACTGGAAAAATTAAAAGGCCTTAATATTTTGTGGAAATGTCATTCATACCTCTTCCATAGAGTAGTTTTACTATGACTGCTTTCTTTCCCTGATCTCAAGGTAGAAGTAATCAACTCAAAATAGAGAAGCACATAGTTTGGCTAGCTGCATTTTAAAATTGTTCTGTAAGTTGAAAATGCATGTTGCCAATGGTGGGGGGAGGTGGGGTGGGCAGGGAACAAGTCAAGAAGCCAAGATTATTCATTCAATTTCTTTGGTAATACCCAAAATATGATTCTTCTGAGTTTGGTGGGCCATCCTGAGGTGCTGAAAAGTACAAGATGCCAAGCTGAACTTCTATGCACAAAAAAAGTGTAGTATACTCTTAATAGCAGGCCTGTTTGATTATGGTGAGCAAATATTTTTGCATCTAAAAGTTATAATTAATAATATATCACTTTCATTTTGGTATGAGGCAAAATGAGTGATAAATTATATTTTTTTCATGCATTCTGGTGCTTTGACGTTTGTGACTGAAAAGGTAAAAGGAATGCAATAGTCTTGCATTTTATTCCATTCTGTGTCTACAATGTGCCTTCTGGTCAGTAGTGTCCTGGGGTGGTAATGCAGAAATGGGAAGAACGCTGTGGCATTGGTCCGGTTCTTCACGTTACGCTGCCGCACGGAGAGCATGACGTGCGGGAAGGGATGTGCACAGAGGAGGACGTGTCGTGGCCATTGGGGCTGATGGGGACTCCGCTTCCCACACAGTTCCCTTGAGGATTGCCTGGGGGAGAGATGTACAGAATCACTTCAGGATTTCCTGGATTCTGAGAAGATGGAAAGAAGCTGTAATAGTTTACAGGCTGTGAGAGTAGTTAAACACGGGAACCTGGGAGGTATTCAGAGCTTCGCTAACAAGAGCCTGAGGAATCTGATTTAGCTGACCCTGCCTTGAGCAAGGCATTTTAGGCTATAATTTGAGGATTATTGGGTTCAGTAATTTGAAAATCACAGGAATAATGTATTTCTTAGCGTGGAGTAGTGCATTTTGATAACTTTTAATAGGCTTAGCATATTCACAGACATTGGTTGTGTGAATGTAGGATTAAAGGAAATGCAAAACTTWGCTAATATTAATGGCGATACATATTTACTTTGATTGTAAATATGGAAAAAACAGAATTGTGTGCAAGACTTGGTGAAATCTAGGGAAATGGTGACTTGAAAAGCAACAGTAGAGGAGAATGTGTGTAAAATGTAGGAACGTAGACTTAACCCAAACTAGCAACTAGTTCTTGTTCTCTGAAAGGTTACTGCTTGAGGCCTGGCATTGGCATGTTGTTATTACCAATTTTATAGTAACAATTTCAGGTGGCTTATGAAGCCAGGCAGTAGCATATATRTACTTTTTTGGAAGTATAATGGCATAAAGCTGTTGTTAGTATTGTCTTCTGTCGTGGTCTTGGGGGGGTTRTGTGTGTATAAAACCAGGGGTAACTACATGTTTTTTTTTCACTTTTAGAGTCTAAGATATATTTCTTAATTTTTAAGGATTAATACTATACATGTGTTTTGGGGTGGAGGAGAGAATACAATGTCCCCAATTATTTTAGTTATACCTATTTCACTTATGAATCACACAGAACAATTAAACCACAAATCTGATTGTAGTGTCGGTCATTTGAAGTAGACAAGTAAGTAGTATCACCACTAAAGGAAAGTGATGCTTTTTTTTCAGTGGCTTTGCAAAATATTTGACTTAATTATTACATTTTAGGGAGTAGCTAGATTTTTTGGTCACTTGGGGATCTTGCCAGATATGTGTATGGCTACATATAACTTCTTTTCCTGCAACCAAAATGGTTTTCATGTGTGAATTTATGGTTATTGTGGCTACTGAAAAGCTAGCTTGGACTTTAAAATATATCCTTAAGATAACAGCCATCAAGAAAATTCATATATGCCAAGAGTATCCCTCTCTTCATCACATAGAGTGGAATTGGAAATTATCTTAAGGTAAATTGTAAGTATAGTTTATGTAGTTGACTGATTTCAATATATAATCTTCATCTGCAAATTTTTGTGTATAACACTTGAAGTAGTTTTATATATGAAGTAAAAATAGTTTATAATATGGTATTTAGTGGTGTTTTTCACCAATATAAAACAAAAAGTTTATGTAGTCTTTTATGCAGAAAAAARCTTTAATTGATTATTTCAAACTCTGGAAAATAGATTTTCATACTTCTGATTTTTCACTGTAAATGACCAAGAATTGCATTCTCCCTAAATATAAAGAACTATGAAGAGGCAAAAGGGGGCAAGCAATCATCTGTTTTTTCTGAAGTGTGTTCTTTTTCTTCCCTTCAACCTTCAGTTTTTAGGAACACATAAATTTGTACAGATAAATATCATTTTTTAAATCATCTATTTTGTTTTTGCTGAAGTTGACTTGTGCTCCAGATGCATCCCAACTTGTTAATTGTTGCAACTGTCTCTCAGCTTTTTCATACCTTCTCAGGATGTGCTTTTTCTTTAATGCTAATCCTCATCATAATTTTGGTGATTCGTATTAATCATTGCTAACTACTRTATGAGCAAAAAATGCATTGAAGTAAAATTAACATGGAAAACAGATACCAGTATATAAGGGAGAAATCACACTTAGTGTTTGAGCCCAAAATATGAAAAATTTAGGAAGTGTAGAATAATGTTTATAGCTTAAAACGTATTGGGCAAAGCTTTGGAAATGTTTTTTAATATCATATAGTAAAACATGGTGTAACTATGTGATTGATAGTTCAGAGTATTTGGTCCTAAACTAAATTTTAAGTTGATTCATATTTTCTGAAATGAGTCTCAGGCAGGCCAGATTTAACTTTATTTTTATCCTTTTTAATATGGTTAAATTCGTTTAATTTTCTTTCAAGTGTTAATGTAATTTTCAGTGGTGTGTTTAGGAATAATTTGGGCACAAGGCTGGGATAAATAGTTGTCAGAATTCTTCATACATGTATGGCCATGTCCTTATCACTGACTCATTCTAACTAATCCCCATTACAGTAATTAGTGGCAGACAGAGCATGCTCACTGGTTAAATCTCCTGCAGTGGCTCTGTTTTAACATATGAGTAAGGTCAATAGCTCAGGTATAAGTACAGTGAAAATAATTAATGGCTGCTAATTAATTTATTATTATGGCTTAATTTCTGCAAGTACGTTTGTGTAAAATTTCAGTTAATTATAAGTGAAGAATGAAGAAAGTTCAGAGGGTGGGAAAAAAAGGCTTGTCAAAAGTCCATTTTAATTCTAGTTAATCTTTACTAATATTAAAATTCATATTTTATTTAACTTTGGGAGATAAATACCATGAAACTTTTTTAGACAAAGATACGAATCATTTTTTTAAAATAGAATGTTATAATAATTAATGTTATGGCATTCTTGCTAAAGAGGAGCATAAAGAATAAAAACCAAGCAGTTTTTTTGAGAATTTTTGAAAAAAGTCTTAGAATTATAAACAAAGTATAACTTTTTTGTTTAGCCATCACTTCAAGTATTTTTACCAAAATTTTTCTTCCTTTTTTCCCCTCTTTCAGTGTGTGTTTTTTTTTAACTTTCATACTTGTACAGAAATAATAGCTTATTACATGTGAGCTAAACTCTGGCTTAAGTGCAGTGCTTATGTAACCTTGCATTCTGGCTCTAGTGTTTTACACTTAAAAAAAAAAAAAGAGGGGGTGGGTGGAATTCTTCAGAAGCAAAAAATGCAGACTTGTATTTATAAGCTGTAGTTAGCAATTGATCAAACCTCAAGAGTACTAACTGAGAAACCTTTAGGTAAAATGAATAATACAGACATAAATTATTCTATAGTTTATCACGGTTTGCTGTTTGTCTAATAATTTCTCTTTTATTACAGTCAATCAGGAAGAATTCATTGCTATTATGACTGGAGATATTTAACATCGTTAGGAGAAGAAATGAATTCAACACAGAGAGGAATCATTGGCAGCTGCCTTTACAATATTTTGTATTTCTGGTCAGATCTGTAGCTGGAGTCATGCAGAAAATMATTCCTTCACAAGACCAAAAGAAACACAATTTTTATGTACTAATACTTCAGTATTTTGTATCATTAAATAATRACTAGAATAATTGCTACTTCATTTTAGAGTAAGTAATGATATGTTTCCAGATGTTTGAATACTCATTTGTAAAATAGCTTTGTACAAGATTTCTAAATTAAATCATATTATCATATTTTGAAGTTGACTTTATGTTAGCATTAGCTGTGGCCTTAGTTTTGRTATAAAAGGTTTGATAAACTTCCATTTTAATAAATTGTTCTTTACTGTTACTACTTGAAAGTTGCATTATTTTTGAAGCTCAATATAAATTGGACTATAAGTTCTTCAGAATACTTAAGTATTGTTTCATGTATAGGTTTGTCACAGAATCACAGAGTGGTTGAGGTTGGAAGGGACCTCCCTGTTGCTCCAGCAGGGACACCTAGAGCACGTTTGTGCTTCCCATTTTCTAGATTCATGATGGCTTAGTTGAGCAAGCATTTGTACCTTCATAGTGAAATATGCCGTCACTGCTGTATTGTGACAGAGTGCAGGTGACTGCATCATGATAAACTGAATCAAAAAAGGTATCATGTTGTCCAACTGTCACCCAGCAGATTTCTTCAGTGTGTGCAGCCCTGATATCTGTGGAAACAATGGCAGCTGTTTATCATGACCAGATATTCTTCCTCCAGGACCTAGTTAGGACAAAAGCATTACATGGAATATACTCTTAGGCCTTGCACTCTTGAAGTCAGAAAAAACAATTCCCGTAGGTAGAGTTTTTTATAGACTTTTGTATTGGCTGTAATTTTTCCTTTTAAATTTCAAATTAATTTCTCCTTTATTGGCGAATGTAGCTTTAAATCCTGTTTAGTCCTTTTGCTTGTTTGTTTTTGTTAGAAAACAAGCTGCCTGTTAACTGTCAGTAACCCTGGGGTTATGAACAAGCAAAAACAGAGTTTGCGATTTACTGCATACAGGTGTTAAGGCCATCAAAGTTAATAGATTGCRTTGCTCTCTATTAAGCCATCAGAGTCATTCATACAGAGGTCRTAACAATTCAATGATTCACAATAACTGCATCTCGCTGAGTGAGTCACACAAGTAGACACACCATGTGGAAGCCCAGTGCTCTATGTGCTCACTGACTGGGATTTCTTCTCTAGATAATTCTTACACAGAGTGAAATCGTTCACGCAGCCTTTGCTAGGAAGGAGGTAGAAGCGCTGTTACAGGCCTGATAACCATTGTACCATGCTCTTAAGCACAGGCCAGTGAACTGGAGAGCTCTCAGAAATTGTTTGGGCTGCAAGAGCACCACAGAAGAAAAACATAAGGAAAGAAGAAATCGGTGTCATAATACTCAGTGATACTGTCTTGGGGTTTGACCTTGTATTTTTTTCTCTGCGTTTGGGAGACTTGCCTTCAAAAACCATGCTTGTTTTGTGCTGCTAACYGTTGAAATAGTGCTCCTTGCGGGTTGGTGTACTGCGTGTGCTGCTAGTTATGTTGGCTTTTCTTGCTGCTAACACAGTAGCATTAAATTTTGCTACATGGGCATTCGCAGCTTGAAGATAGAAGGCCTCAGCCTGCAACTGTGTGCTTGATCTTAGCACTAACATATGCTTAATTCTCTTTTGGAGTAGAAAGTAAGTGATTCGGTACGTTCAGGTTGTTCAATAATCATTAGTGCATCTTCTAGAACTGCTCTGGTAATGTGTGTATCTTATTTGCAATCATGGATAGGTGGGTTAGTGTTAAAATGTCAAGCTTTTAACTGGAGTAACTGAGATGAATTGCTTTCTCTTAACTTTACTMTGAGGTTAGTAATGTCTAGTGCAAATCCAGAAATGACAACTAAGTCAAATACCTTAATCCACTGCAGTAAAATCTGCCAGAGCTGTGCTCTCAGTGCCAGCAGTTGTGCTACTTCAGCTCTGCCRGATAGTCCATCACTTCTCTAATAAATCCAATATATATTTGAGGTAGTTTAGAATCTCTGAATGAGTAAAAATCTCACCTCAGAGTACTTTGCATATCAGTGCTACTCTGCTGACTTATTTTAATCTTTTCAGTGCTAGTTATGCCATGTCAAACACTTTTGGTCTTTATTTGTGTAAAAGCATCGGCTCACTTCAGCGGCACGGCTAAGTCACGGCACGCCGGCAGATGCCGGAGTGCAGGCCGCGGGYGCCCCGTCCCGCGGCCACSCTGGGCACGCGGCCGCCTCCCCACGCGGGCGCCTGYGGCGAGGCCTGGCCCAGCGCCCRCTCCCGCCGCAGCCCCCAGCCCAGGGGAGCAGGGGGAGCYGCCTGCGGCCGACGGRAGCCCAAAGCACCGGCGGGGGCGAGGGGCGGATGAGCCAAGCGGCCGGYGGGGAGAGGCCCGGCCAGGCCCGCGCTCGGAGCCAGGGCCCAGGASTGYGTGTGGGGTCGACAGCAGCAGGAGCAGCTGGCCTGGACCYRGGCCTGGTTCTGGGCCTGGGCTCRCCTTTAGGTTGTCTCTGCTGTGCAGCCCTGCGCTCCGCTGCAGCTCCCRGCTCAGCTKGGAGCACATTCCCATTCCCTGCAGCAGCAACAGCCTGGGAAGCCTGGCATTGCATGAGCTTGTATGTCATCAACGTCGCGTGAAACAGGGTAAGTGTGGACAAAGCTTTTGAGATTTCATTTTTTATCTTAAGCAAGTTTTGCTCTTTGTTGAGTTTTGTGATTTCAAGACTTGGTGAACTTTATTACAATTAGTGAAGGTTTTATCGCACATTCCCCAAAAACAGATGCTGAGGACAGTTACCATAAATCCAGCAGCTCCTGTGGAAGTGCTTAGACCTCCCTAGATAGCTTGGAGCTCCTCACTACCACTCACGTGGCTGGAGAGTTTTTCTCCCATCTGTTGGATGTGCTACTCAYAGAAAGAGCCCTTACCTTATTTTTGCCAAACTGACTCTTATTAGTGAGCTGGTAAAGCTGTGAATGCAGCTTGTCTTGCTGCCCACACAGCCATAGCTGAAGGCAGAGCTGCATTTTCCTTTGACTTCTTCTTTAGGTCAAGATGTTTGCGAGCTGGTGACTGTCACCAGCAAAACCTGCAGAGGTCACTTGCTGTAGCAGCCCCGCAGAGAGCTAATTGCCACTGAAGTAGGTCTGCAGGGACGATGGGACCGCTTTCATCATGGAGTTGCAAAGGAAAAATGATTCTGCAGGGCAGTCAGTGCCTTGAGCCCTTCTGGCATCCCTAAGTTATGCCAGGGAAAAATCTGTACAAATCCAATTGGAAAGTCCCAACAAAATATCACAAATGAATAGAAAGGCAGTATAGAAACCTCACAAACCCTTGGAGAATCTGCAAGTATCTTTTATGCTGATAGGACAAGTGGTAAAGCTGTTGCTAAGCAAACTGAGCATGTTGGCAAGTACCAGCTGTAAGGAGTGACAGCTCTCAGAATACAGAATAAGTGGGGATTTTCCATATAAATCACTCTGAAATGGCATGCAACTGCTTGGCCAGTGGAGGTTGCACTTACCCCTTTTTGGTCCTTACTAGTTGAGTTTGGAAGGAGTCATTTCAAGCCCCCTGCTGGAAGCAGTTAAGTTACAGCACAATAACCCCGTTGTGGAGGAAGGGGTAGAGTAAGAAATGCCTATGTCTAAGAAAACAGCTGCCCATTGAAATAGGAGTTGTGCAACACTATCTACTGAATAGAGTCGATTTCCTTTGACTCATCATGAAAAAAATACGTGTATTCTTCTGTCRTGTAGTGAAAAAGGTAGAAATAAAATAATACGAGTTGAAGCTCTATAGAAATGTGCTGTCCTGAGAAAGAAAAAAGGGAAGCCAGTAAAATATCTGTGTAGTATTTGTGGTTGGTTGCTGTGTAGAAAAATTAATTGGAGGCAAACAAGCAAATGTATAAAAATAAAATTAGTAAAAAACACTAATTCATGTAGCTCATACTACAGATCTCCTTAAAAGGGCATTTAAAAAAAATCCCAAATGAAGCAATAATTCACTGCAGGCTAACAGAATGTGGGTAGTGGCCTTGTTCCATGTTTAAACTCTTACTCGCTATTGAGGAATATTGCTGTTCAAAATTTTGCTGTTTGAACAATGTATTAAACAAATCAGTTCTTTACACTCCCCTAGAAGTCAGATAATTCCCTGGTACTTTGAAAAAAACACCAAACACACCTCCCACTCTGCAAACTGAGAATTCTTCACCTAAGAAAATAGCTGCTGCTGTCTGGAGGTATGCGAACGCACTAATTATATCTGTTTATGATGGCTGCCACGTTTATAAAAACAGCCGCGGCGCTAACAGCATCTAATTCATTACTTTGTGAAACACTCTGACTATCATGACTTGGGAAAGTGTTGTTGTGACTCATTTTTCTTAAAAAAGRAAAAAACAAAAGGTAAGGAGTGTTGTCTTCCTTATTACAGCCCAGCCAGGGCAATCTTAGCAGTAAAGTTGTTTGATTTATGTGTATTTTTTAAAAAAAATCACACATAAAACACGGATTTATGAGGCGCAGTTTCAAGGCCACATTAAATACTGCATCAGGAAGAATTGTGGCTTGATTTCTTAATGAAGCAGCCCAATTAAAGCACATATCACTTCAAATATGCTTTATGTTTTGGAGGAGTTGCACAAAAGTTAATCACAGCTCTTCATGCCCGCATTTATACAAGTGGGCAGGCATCCACTCGGTAATCAAGCCCAATACATTGCCTTGGCACGATGAGATTTGCAGGACAAAATGTATCCATCACATTTTTATCCACTAGGGGGACCTATTGTTATGACTAAGAAGTGGAATCTGAACTCCTAAAAACATGATCCAATGTCAGGTTCAATTTTCCTAGCAGAACCTTGTCCCCCTCGCAGTGTGTACACACATCTTGGAAACCTGTGCGCCTCTCCCACCCGTGTAAGAGGGATGTGCCAACTCTGATGCCACTTCTGCACAGCACAAATTAAAACTAAACCTTGTAAGCATGCAAAGAGCAAATCCCATTTCCACGCTGGGTCATCTTGCAGCTTTACTATGAAATAGCGACAGAAAACAGATTCGTTGCTTGTGGTTTAGAAGATTTCCTAGCAAGATTTATACTAATTCACAGCTGTGCTAGTCTTCTCCGCGCTCTTTGTTTTTCCCCACAGAAAGAGGGAAAAAAAATCACCCAGCTATTCTTCTGACAACCAAACCAGTCCTGACAACCAAATAGCTCTCCCGTGTCCTGCTTGTTTCCTGCCCCARCCACGT